TCCAATCAAGTCTTACCAGATGGAAGAATCATTGTTGTTGGTGGGAGATTTCAGTTCAATTATGAGTTCATCCCCAAAACCTCAACTAATGACAAGAAGCTATACCAACTTCCATTCCTTGAAGAAACAATGCACTTGCCAAAAGTACCCAACAATTTGTACCCTTTTTTACACCTCTCAACTGATGGGAATCTCTTCATTTTCGCAAACGACCGCGCGGTTCTTTTCGATTATGTGCACAACAAAGTTGTTACAAAGTTTCCAGTCATGCCAGGAGGTGTTTCTAGAAACTATCCAAGCACAGGCTCATCTGCCCTGCTTCCTATTAGCCTTGTGGGAAATAAAAGCTCTCCAAGTGTTGAAGTTTTGGTCTGTGGAGGGACATTTCCTGATTCGAATGTAAAGGCCAATGCTGGCATATACATGCCTGCATCAAAAAGCTGTGGTAGATTAATAATCACAGAAAAAAACCCAAATTGGGAAATGGAGGAAATGCCCATCAACAGAGTCATGGGTGACATGATTTTGCTGCCAACAGGGGATGTGCTGATCATAAATGGTGCGGCTTGTGGAACCGCTGGTTGGGCAGTGGCACGAGAACCGGTTCTGAACCCGGTTCTTTTCAAACCAAACCATGAGAAAACCGGCAGGTTTGAGCTCATGAGCCCTACAACTATACCTCGCTTGTATCACTCAACAGCACATTTGCTATCTGATGGTAGAGTTTTGGTTGGTGGCAGCAACCCAAATGTGAACTACAATTTCACTACTTTGTACCCTACTGAGCTTAGTCTAGAAGCATTTTATCCACCATATTTAAGCACATCATCAAGGTCCAGGCCATCGATAGGTTCGATCAAACCGGGAGTGGATCTTACTTACTTGCAGAAATTTTACCTGGGATTTAAGACAAATTATGTGCCGGAGAAGATTTATGTGACAATGGTGGCTCCATCATTTACTACACATTCTTTTGCCATGAACCAGAGGGTGCTAGTTTTGGACTTCAGCCAAGTGGGGAAGAATGGCAATATATCTGGTTCTAAAGGCTACATAAATCTCGAGGGTTTTGCACCAGCAAGGCCTGAATTGGCACCACCAGGATATTACTTATTGTTTGTGGTGTGTGATGGGATACCAAGTAGAGGAATGTGGGTTCGCATTAAGAAGTTGTGATTGAGTATGGCTGTCAATGATGAAGGTTAATTAATTAACTTGAGATCTCTGATTATATTTATTTTCATGTAATTTATAATTTACGTACGGACAAAATTCAGCATAAATCTAAAGTAGAGTTACTTGTCAATGAAGTTTCATTAAGAATAAACTTACAAATAAAAAGGCTTAAAGATTAGTTTAACATCACCTCAAAGCGTGGAAAAAAACTTCCTTAGATCTGGCCCTCTAACAAGAACTCCATACTGGAGGTGGTGATTTGGAGGGTCGATGATGTCTCCTCTTTTTGAGGCTATTAACAGAGTACATATGTTTTCCCAAAAATGAAAAAAGAAAACCTAGTACAATATGTGCTTCATAGTGAGCTGATCAAAAGACCTCTTTGTATATGGGACACCAGATTAGGACATTGTTATGGTTAATTAGTTAGTATCATGATGCATCCCGGAAACACAATAAAAGGGATCAATGAACGTCAAATCTTAAAAGAAGAACTAAAATCCGCTACCATTCTGAAATCCACTAGAAAAAAAAAATGAAAATATTCTCAGTAACTTCATTGATATAAAAACTTTTAATTTTCAATATCTGAAAAATAGGGGCCTTAAACGGTGAGCACCCTCCTTTGCTCTGTTATTTTTTTATTTTTTCTTCTTTGTGTAATGTTCTTTTGTGGTTGATCAAACCGGCAGCTAATGTGGGCGGTTCGAATGGGGGTGGGGTGGAAAGTGGTGGGTCGTGAGTTGCAAAGAGAGGAGAGAGAGTTTTCCAAAAAAAAGTTTTTAATTTTTTTCTTCAGTTTTTTCAATTATTTAAATTGTTAATTGATTCTTTTATTATTTTATTATTTTATATTTTTTATAATTTATTTTTATCAAATGATGTGGCACAATTATTTGAGTTTAGGTCAATCAATGATTGCCACATCATCATTTAATGGGTAACTTAGGGAAGTATGAAAGTGGTAGAAAAATCAAATTTTAGGTACGAAGTTGAGACGAAAAAAAACTTTGTGTAGTAAAGTCATAATTTAGGGAAACGTTCGGGTAGTAAAGTGAAATTAATTCCTTATTTTAATATGCACAAAATATTCCAAAAAGATAGTTTCATCTTACACCAACCATCATATTCTCTTATCTCAATCTTATCCATTAGACTATTATCAATGATTTGCACAAAATTTAAAAATACAATAAGATAAGATTTCAGGGACGTATTCAATTCTAACTTTTAAAGACTTTTTGTACGTGAGTGACTTTGAAGGAGTTGACAAATTCTTAATGACTTTTACCTACTTTTTTCTTTTTTGGTGAAATAGTCTAGAATCCATTGAAGAACAGAGCACAAGCTCAGATACAACAATAAGAACACATCCAGGAGGTTCTTGCAATACAGAGACTAAGACAACAACACCAACTAAACACAAGTATTACAAGATTGTTAAAAGACTTTATAAAGTTAAGTGACATACTTTTATCTACTTTTGTAAATATTTATTTTATGGATAGTATTTATACTTTTGAAAAATGTTCTCTCACTTCTCTCTCTGCCCATTCCCATTCTCTCTATGGCCTGAATGTACCCTCAGCATCAATGTACATTGCTTTTCCCTCACCACCTCCTTGATCTAATGGGAGCTGAAACATCAAAATGAATTAGAAGTGCACTATAGTGAATCGAAATTATAGATTGTAGTTGGGTGGTTTATGTACCAGCACAAGAAGTTAAAGAGAAAAGAAAGTACACTTAGGCCTAGTTTTGGATTGCTGTCATTTTTAAAAAAAGTTGCTTCTGCTGTGCTTTGAAAATAATTAACTGTAAAGTAAAACAACTCCATGTTTGGTAAACAATATTTTTAAAGTGCTGTTAGTACAAAAACCAGTGTCAAAACTGTTTGGTAAATTTTAATATAAAATTGTTGTAACTGTGAATAATGACTAAAATAGACATGATGTTGAAAGTGTTATGTACTAATCATGTGGTGGTAGTGGTAGTGATGGAGCAAAGGTGGTGGTGGTGATGAAGGTGGAGGTGGTGGTTGTGTGGTAGCGGTGGTGGTGGGGATGGCGATTGTGGAGGTGGTGGTGGTAGCAGTGGCAGCATGGAGGTGGTGGTGGATGTTGAGGTTTTGGAGGAGGTGGTGGTTGTGGTGGTAGTGGTGGTTGATAAGTCCATAAAATTACATATTTATGTACTCTTTATACGTAGTTTTTGTAGGAGAATTTGATTTAAAAAGGACTTATTACTTTATTTTCTCAATTTTCAGTTTTCCAAAGCAAGTAATTGGTTTTCTACAAAAATATGACTTTTTGGTGGAGTTTTAGTACGAGACTAGTTGGAGATGAAAGCTAAGATGATCTTGAAGATGATTGTGGAATTTTTCTAGAATTTTTGGAGCAGCCAATGAGAGCAGTCTTTGAAGTTAAGTCAGCATAAGGTGCAATCCCGTCAAAACTGTGCTGCTGTGAAAGAATGACTATTTGAAGACTTTCCTGATTTTTCCTCAAGGCGTGCGATATATGGTTGGAAAGATAAGACAAAAATCTACAATTTACATATTTTTCCCGAATTTTCTTGGAGGAGGAACAACCCCAAACGTGCATGCAAAGTAACTGATGTGTTACCCCAATCCAAGTAGGAAGAGGAGTCAATTACTTACCCATTTTGGATTTATGTTTTAATTAGGTTTTTCTTTATTGTTGGGCTGCTGTAAAAGCCCAGCTATGGTAGGAATATACACTACGAAAAAAAACCCCTTGCGCGACCAAATTTTGCGCGACGAAACAAAATTCGTCGCGCAAAGTCACTTTGCGCGACAAATATAAATAATCGTCGCTCAAAGTCTTACGCGACTCAATTTTGCGCAACGAAAAACAAATCGTCGCACAAAGTCACTTTGCGCGACAAAACTTTGCGCGACGACAAAGAATCGTCGCGCAAAGTAACTTTGCGCGACGAATACTAGAATTCGGTGCACAAAGTTTTGCGCGACGAATAGTGATTCGTCTCGCAAAGTATTTACAAAAATAAATAAATAAAAAATTATTTTTAAAAATTTTTGGATGCCTTTGCGCGACGAAATAATAATATTCGTCTCGCAAAGTCTTTACTAAAATTAAATAAATAAAAAAATTTGGATGACTTTGCGCGACGAAATAATAATCTTCGTCTCGCAAAGTCTATACAAAAATAAATAAAATAAAAAAATTATTTTGTTAGAAAAATATATTATTGTAGTTCGGATTGGGTTTTTGTTAGAAAATATATATTTTAAATTGACGATCAAATTGGTGCATTGTATTCATATAGGGTCAAGGAATGTAGCTGTAAAAAATCATCAAAATCGGAGTTAAAATAACTGTTTAATCGTGATTTTTGTTTATAACCATCGAAAAGTTTTGTCCAATTACGTGATCTCTGAATGTTTATTTTTTCCGATTTTTGGCGTATATGATCTCGAAGTGTAAACAAACAAATTTGACAGTTGGATCGTTGAAACTAGTTTCGTAGAATGCGTATGCCATGAAAACAATATATTCACTAACAAATAAGAGTTTATTTATACTTTTATTAAATATAACACAAGATTTTGTGGTATCTACTAGTGTAAATATTTTAAATTGACGATCAATTGCAATCATTGTATTCATACAGGGTCAAGGAGTGTAGCTGTAAAAAATCATGAAAATCAGAGTTGAAATAACCATTAAATCGTGATGTTTCGTTTATAACCGTCGAAAAGTTTTATCCTATTACTTAATCTCTGAATGTTTATTTTTTCCGATTTTTGGCATATATGATCTC